ACAGAAATACAGTTAACTAGCCTACACTATACTTTGTGGCAAAATAGAGAACACATTGATAAACACGTATTAACTGAAATACTTGAAATAGCTTCTTTTGCTTACACATAATAAAAAGGAGTCAGTTACTTGGGAAGACTTTTCAGAGCACTTACACTCTGACAAACCCGTCTTTACCATCCGGCCCTGGCCAAGTCAGACCACAAGTAGGAACCCACTTCTATGAGCAGCCAAATTAAAGGACAAGCTGACCAGCTGTTAGGGGCCAAGCAGGAAACCATCAAGGGTAGCCTATTCTGGGTGATGAATTAACAGGCAGATATACAAGAACTCACCATCGTAGCCTACAAGAAAGAAGTAGCCTGCGAAAGAATGAGAACCAAAATCCTGGCCTTGACACCCGTTAAAAAATTATTTTTCTTGGGGCGCCTGGGTGGCTCAGTCGGTTGAATGTCCGACTTCAGCTCAGGTCATGATCTCGCGGTCCGTGAGTTCGAGCCCCGCGTCAGGCTCTGGGCTGATGGCTCAGAGCCTGGAGCCTGTTTCTGATTCTGTGTCTCCCTCTCTCTCTGCCCCTCCCGCGTTCATGCTCTCTCTCTGTCCCAAAAATAAATAAAAAAAATAAATAAATAAAAAATAAATAAAAAAAACGTTAAAGTCTTTTTCTTTAGGCAACTAAGAAGAATTATAATGGAAATAAATGGGTTTATGGGGTATGGGGCTTGTAGTAAGAGCTGAATAAATCTGAGATTATCTGGTTCACCCTTTATTTTACAGTTTAAGATTCTGGGCAATTTCAGGGACTTACTCAAGGACCCACCACAGCAGGCAGCTGAGTGGGAATAAGAAACTAAACCTACTAATCACCATCAATTCAATCAGGTTTACTTGCTACGTAACCCACGCTATGTACGCGCACTCCAGTAAATAAATGAGGGTAAGAAATGTTAACAAGAAGTCACTCTCCCTGTGAACCAAATCAGATATAAAGACTTCAAGTTGTCCTCCCCACCCCCCACACCCTGTCCCGTTACATGGAAACCTCCAGGAAACACAACAAGCAGACTACAGTTTTAATTTAGCACTTTCTTAGCTCTTGTCTCCCCTTCAGTTGGATGCAACTGCTACAAAGATGACTTTAATGTCAGATTCTGAAATGCCATTTTAAAGATTATTTTTTTACAAAGAGTAAGAAACTATGCCAATTAAAGCAATGAGCCAAAGTGATGAAAAAACTTTTAAGCCAGCCCAAAAACTAAATGAGCTGGTCCCCTCATTTTATAAATAAGCAGTTTGCAGCTCAGAATGCTAAAGCAGCAGTCCAATGTCACTCAGAAAGGCAATATTACTTTCACATTTTAGAAACAGGAAGGAGAAGGAAACCAGTGATCATAGGCCTAAGGAAGAAAAAAAAAAAGAATTTTTTCTTAAAATCAATTAAGATGCTGTATTTTCCATATTTATACCTGAAAATCATCAACAAGCTCAGGGAAAAGGTGTTCATACATTTTAAGTTCTTCTATCGTTCGTCCTGGTTCCTGCTGGGGTTTTAGCTTGTTAATATCCGTTTCAATATCATCATTCTGAAATAATAAAAATGTCACCAGTTAAGAAAAAGTTACAGAATATAATTCAGACTAAAATTTTCCAAATTATTAATCACATGTAGAGAATAATCACTGAATAAAAGCTGTATAAATTAAAATGTGCTTGTATTTTTGCTTCATTGTTGCACATTTCATTGTTTTGGTTGTTTTATTGTGTTAAAGGTTACTCTAATAGAACACAGTATTTGGGCACCTCAAGATGGAAAACCTAGCATCAAGATCCAAATTAAAGTATGCCCTCCTGAAGTGTCAAAATTTTATTCACATTTAAGGGCAGTAAAACTTAAAACTAAATTGAAAAACATAAATACAAGATAGTGGTGGTGATAATCATAACATTTACTAGGCAGTGAAAATGTGTGAAGCGCTAAGGGTTTTACATAATTTAATCTGCACAAGAACACTATGAGGTAGATAGCATTATTACCTCCATTCAACTGAAGAGGAAACGGAGGTAGAGAGAGGGTTAAGTGGCTTGCTCAAAATTACACAGCATGCAAAGAGAACACCCAGGATGTAAAATTCATCATTGATTTCAGAGCATACACTGTTGCTCGATGGACTGCCTCAAGACAAATTAATGATTATACCATCCTCTTGTATTCCTTGGTCAATAATTTCCCTTAGAAAAGCTCAGTGTCACCATTCACTTTGTTTTTCGGGGGGAAAAAAGTGAAAAGTTGAACAACAACCAGAAATGATTTTCATGCCCTTTTAAGAAAGAAGAGGGTAAATTTAAAGGAGAGGTCTGACCTTAGGAAAACAGGATATGCATCCGGGATTAATTTTATCTGTATCTGCTCAAAGACCAGAAGTACGCTGTGACAGAAGGACAAGTGTCAGTTTACCTACTACCCAAGCTATTCTCACCAAATGTGGCCTCACACAAATACAAACTTAACCACCACCTTCACTGGAAAAGAGAGATGTGAGATTTGTCTGCAATGGGCATTCATTTTTAACTTTGCATTTACCTTACTATCAGAGTGAACTTACTTTTAGCCTTAAATTTATTCTACCATGCCCCAATTCTTACAATACTTTCTATACGTGTATATGCATATACACATAGTCTCCATAGACTCTATGTACATATTTCGTATTAAGTAATTTAAAAGGAAAAACATACTATGTATTTCTCATATTTTATATTCAGGAACTTAGCTATCCCTTGTATAACCAACAAAAAGATTTTCTCCATTGCCAGAAATAATAAACACTATGTGTATTTAAAGAGTATCATGTGGGGCGCCTGGGTGGCGCAGTCGGTTGAGCGTCCGACTTCAGCCAGGTCACGATCTCGCGGTCCGTGGGTTTGAGCCTCGCGGTCCGTGAGTTTGAGCCCCGCGTCGGGCTCTGGGCTGATGGCTCAGAGCCTGGAGCCTGTTTCCGATTCTGTGTCTCCCTCTCTCTCTGCCCCTTCCCCGTTCATGCTCTGTCTCTCTCTGTCCCAAAAATAAATAAATGTTGAAAAAAAAAAAATTTAAAGAGTATCATGATAATTACTGTATCATTATTATATAATTATTTAGTACTTGAATATGTAATTTCATGTGTCTTCAAATTATTAATTGATGAATCAAAATATATAATTTCCTTGATTGGCATCTAACAGAGAATGCTTTTAAAATAACAAAAAGTTTACAAAAGTATTCTTTCTCTAAACATACTAGAATTCAGTATTCAATATTTTGTGAAAATTAAGCCTTAGAGATTGGCTCTCTACTTTCAAAAAAATAATAATAATTTATCTGTAAAATAGTCATTGTGGACCAAAAAAACTGTACTTTGAGAGGTCAACAGCAGGAAATTCTGTGTTTTGGTTTAGGGAAAAACAAAGATGAAGAGCTACCGACAGCCTCAGGGAAAAACAACAACAACAACAACAACTGTCTATCACTCCTTAAAGTTCTTCTAAAGTAAAGGAGAGGGAAAAAACACATTGAAGTATGTATACTGACAAGTCCTGGCTATCTGGAAATGAGTCTTCTAAACCTCCAGGTTTCTATAAATGCTCCAAGCTGAAACATCTGGGGTAAAGAGAATAGAGAATGGGATTGCTATGGTGAGGAAAAAAAGAGTCTCTATGAGTATAAACACAATGGAACACAAATAAATATTAAACTCAATGCATATGAGGTTCACCTGACAAGGAAAGAAGTAATGGGACTTAGAATAAAAGGAAAAATTGAGTTTTACTAAATATGTAACTGCCAAAGACAGTAAAAGGCAGACTGTGGTAAAGAAGAAAATAAGATAATAGAACTCAGTTTCAAAGAGTCAACAATTCTGTAGCCCTTTAAAAATAAACAAATAACATTTTGGTATAGCATGGTGGTAAAGAAAGCTGACATTCACATCCGACTGCTTTATTCTGAATCCTGTCCCCCCTCTTATAAGCTACATTAGTAATCTATTTGTGCCTCCTTCTTCTGATTATTAGCCATGTAAAGCAGAGGTAATTAATACCATGTAACTTAGAGGACTGAGATGAGGCTTTAGAGTTACTATATGTAAAGAGCATGGATTAGCATAAATGGTAAATTCAAGTGGTAACTAGACTTACCATGGTGAACATTTCATAGTGTCAAATCACTATGTTGTATACCTGAAACTAATAAAATAGTGTATGTCAACTATACTTCAATTTTTAAAAAAAAGTACAGGTGCCTGGATGGCTCAGTCGGTTAAGCATCCAACTCTTGATTCCGGCTCAGGTCGTGATCTCACGCTTTGTGAGTTTGAGCCGCACATCGGGCTCTGTGCTGATGGTGCAGAGCCTGCTTGGAATTCTCTGTCTCCCTCTCCACCCCTCCCCCAGTCGTGCTCACTCTCTCTCAAAATAAATAAATAAACTTAAAAAAAAATTAAAAAGAGCATGGACTAACATAAGATTGGATGTTCAATAAATTATTTTATTATCACAACTGCTGTGTTAAGGTAAAGCGGGGGAAATGTGAGCAATCATGGACATTCCAGTGAGTAACACAGCCAACAACTATATTTTCCAAAGATGTGAATGTCACAAAAGAGAAAGAAATATGTGGAAATGTTTTAAATTAAAGGAGATTTAAGGGACAAGATAATTAAACACAATACCTGATGTTAGCACTAGAGAGAGGAAAAAAAAATACTAGAGAGAGGGAAAAAAATGTCATAAAGGACATTTATTAGATCAGCGGACAGTCAAATATGGATGGTAGATTAGATAAAAATGTTCTATCACTATAAATTTATGAAGTTAATAACTGCATTGTAGTTATGTAAGAGAGTATCACTATTCTTAGGAAATATACACTGACATATTTAGGGGTATAGGATCATGATACATAATATACATAACTTTACTCTCATATGATTTTTTTAAAAAATTTTAAGTAATGTATTCATGCATCTACACTGACAATTTCCAAGGAGCAAAATAGAATCATTGTTATAATTCCTATTGAGTTCTATTTTCGCACCAATCTCTCTGTCTTTACATCTGTAGTGATCCCAATAACAGATATTTTAATGAGGACCCTGAATCATAAAGAATGAATTATACTCAACATACTATGTTTTTAATAACATGGAAACATACAGCACATAAAAGTTTCTATCAAAATATAATACTTCAAATCATAAGTTTAGTGTCAATCTGAAAAATTTTACTACCCTTAAACACTCACTTCCCAAAGAATCCAAACAGGTGATTTTTCCTATTATCTAAGGAACATTTTACATAACAGAATCTAAATTCTCATCCCATAGTTCTTTCACTTCCATCAAGTCCCGAACCACAATCACACAGTTAGCCCAGATTTTTTGCCTTGACCATCAGAGCCTGCATGGGTTTTCTTCTTTGCAGCTTCTTGAGGTAAGAATGTAGACCATCATGCTGTCCAGATTGGCTAACTTGACATTTCTGCCAAAGCCTGCCTTGGTGATCACAGTTGGTGATAATAAAACTGGTTCTCCATCTCCTATTAAGATGGAAATCTCAGGGTGCCTGGGTGGCTCAGCTGGTTAAGCATCCAACTTTGGCTTAGGTCATGATCTTGGGGTTCATGAGTTGGAGCCCGTCAGGCTCTGTGCTGACAGCTCAGGGCCTGGAGCCTGCTTCGGAGTCTGTGTCTCTCTCTCTACCCCTCTCCCACTTACGCTCTGTCTTTCTCAAAAATAAACAAACATTAAAAAAAAAAAATTTAAAAAAAAAAAAAAAAAGGTGGAAATCTCCCTCCAGTATCTTAGATTCTATCTCCAGAGGGGGTCAAATACTCAGTGTACCCAATTTTGATGTAACATTTCAAGACAAAAAGGTGCAAGCAGGCAAAGGTCAAATGAATCCCTCCCCATATGCCAAAAAAGCACTAAGTTAAACAGCTGAAAACTGAAAGAGTTAAACAGATACTTTTCCAAAGATACTAAAACAACCCCTTCTAACACTAAATAAAGCAAATATAGTCACTATACTTCTAGGGGTGCCACCAAATTCTGAAAACTCCCCTGCCTTTTCACTTAATATCACATGACAATATTTTTTATCTAGTCTCAATTCAATAAATACTTTTGTCCATTTTCTTCTCCAATTACCTGAAACCTAAGAATCATCATGTAGACCCTAATTCTTACCAAAGAGCCAGCAGTTACAGATGATTTTCCTACTATTTTGATATCTCCAAATGATTGCTGAAAGAGGAACAGGTTGCCACTTAGAGTCTCAAACCACCTTCCTTCAAACTCAGATTTCCTTAGACTTTGAAACCTAAGCCAGATGGGTTACCTGAGGTCATCCTGGCCAAAAAGAGTGAAGGTAAGTTATTCTCACACCCTTTTCAGACCAACACATTCAGAACAATATTATTTTCCCTTTCATTAATTCAGTGTCCACCCTCAACATAATAAACAGATGGGGACTACATGAATTAATCTACCATTAAGCTATACCTACCTCCCCAACCTTTGTTTTACAACTGTGGATACAATTTATAAAGTCGACTAAAGATGGAGTCACACTAACCTTAAAATTCTGATCTACGTCATCTTCATTTTCAGTTTCATTTTCGGCTTCTAAGTCAAGGTCATCGTTGTCATCACTTTCATCCACTACGTCGTCCACTGTGACACAAAATGCGCTATGAGTAGGTCAGAGGTAAGCATTCTGCAACATGCACATCCGAAGACAGGGTGGCACAGACATACCACATCGGCGTTCCAATCACCAAAGAAAAAGTTAATGAAATGCCTCATTAAAAATGTCTCTAATGCTGTTGAAAAACCTAGCAGATAAAGTGAAAGTGCTTTAAAATTTGAAAAAGCACTGTAAAAATGCATGGGTGTTTTTACTGATGTTCTCGGTTTTTAAAAATGAATAATGTCTTCTGTTGCAACAGCCTGAATGAAACATCTTATTTCCCGTACATGACAAATTTCAAGAACTGCTTTCATGCCTTTATCAACTGACTTCCCATCTATTTGTTTCAATGGCTACCATGTGCCTTACATAGTGCAATGTGCTGGGTATTCTTTTAAATATGTGTAAATATATTTACTCCCTGTCTGCAGGGAGCTCATGAGGTTAAAGAGCAGCAAAGAGTAAACAGATAACTACAATATAAAAGATTTATGTTCATGAAGGCATATACGTAAAACAGTTATGGGAATATGAGGATGGAATAACTGCAAACTGCTTGGGGTCACGGGGCTATGAATGATCGCCTCACAAAACAGGCAGTGATTAAGCAATATCCTGAATATCCAGAAAACATGGCAGCTTTCTAGGTGAACATAAGGGTGGGTGAGTGTGGCTTTTAAGAAAGATGAAAACAAAAAGCTGAGATGGTATCTTTGGGAAACAGCAAGTGTAACTAAACTTGTATGCTTGGAAAAGTACTAAGAAAGGCAAATAAGAATGAGAACATGTAGGGCACACAGTAGGCCAAGTAGTTTAGATTTTTAACCTCTGGAAGATAAGCACTGAGAATTTTCAAGAGGAAAATGGCTTAATTCAACTTGAAACTGTTCAAAAGATCAGTCTGGCGGGTGAGAGGGAGAACATATGTGGAGGGGGACCATTTAACTGGAGACAGTAACTGTCTGACCAATATAGCAGGAATGGGGATAATGAGTATACATTAGAGAAAAACTCAGGGAACAGAATGTAAAGAGACATGAGGACCATGGCTGTAGGAGCGACAAGGAAAGAAGAGTAGAGTACTCAGGTGAGTAACTGAGTGCTTTAAAACAAGATAGAGAATATTTTAAAAGAATATTTTGGGGGGTGCCTACGTGGCTCAGTTGGTTAAGTGTCCAACTTCGGCTCAGATCATGATCTCATGGTTTGAGGGTTAGAGCCCCGCATTGGGCTCTGTGCTGACAGCTCAGAGCCTGGAGCCAGCTTTGGATTCTGTGTCTCCCTCTCTCTCTCTGCCCCTCCCCTACTTGTGCATGCATGTATACTCTCTCCACTCTCTCAAAAATAAACATTTTTCAAAAAAGGATATTTTTCTAAACTATTTAACTCTATTGAGGAAGAAATGGCCAATAAAATTGTATATATTAAAGTATACAATGTCATGATTTGATACAAATACACAAGGCAAAATGATTACCAAAACAAAGATAACTAATACATCCATCACCTCACACAATTAACATTGTCAATAGTGTCTGTGTGTGTGTTTGTTGTACAAATGCTTAAAAGCTCCTCTTATGAATGTCTAAGTATGCAATACCATATTAGTAACTATAGTTACCAGGCTGTACACAGATTCTCAGAATGTAATCCTCTTAAACTGCAAATCTGTATGCTTTGACCCCATCAACTAATTTATCACTCCCCTCACCTGTGGCACCCAACATTCTATTCTCTGTTCATACAAAATCATTTTTTGTGCTGCTGGTTTTTTTTTTTTTTTTTTTTTTGGTTTTTATTTTAAGATTCCACATATAAGTAATACCATACAGTATTTGTCTTTCCGTCTGGTGTATTTTACTGGGCATAGTGCCCTTCAGATACATTCATGTTGCAGCAAATGGCAGGTTCTCCTTCCTTTATTTTGGCTGAATAATATTCAAATATATATACATGACAGAATGAGAGAGAGGAAGGAAGGAAGGAAGGAAGGAAGGAAGGAAGGAAGGAAGGAAGGAAGGAAGGAAGGAAGTTTTATGGTCTTTTATCCATTTATCTATCAAAAGACATTAAGTTCATTTCTAAATCTTGTCTATTGTGAATAATGCTATAGGGAATATGGGTGTACAGATCTCGCTTTAAGATAATTATTTCAATTCCTTTGGATATATATATACTCAGGAGTAGGATTGTTAGATCATATGGTAGTTGTATTTTTAATTTTTTGAGGAACCTCCATACTGTAGCTGTACCATTTTCACATTCCCACCAACAACGTTAAAGAGTTCCATTTCCTTCACAACCTTGCAACTACTTCCCATGTCTTGTCTTTTTGATAATAGCCATTCTAACAGGTGTGAGGTGATACAGTAAGTGGTTTTTATTTCCATTTCCCTGATGATTACTGATGTTGAGTACTTTATCATATACTATCAGCCATTTGTATGTCTTCTTTGGGAAAATGTTTATTCAGGTCCTTTGCCTAATTTTTAATTGGATTACTTGCTTTTGTACTCTTCAGCTGTGAGAGTTCTTTATATATTTTAGACAGTAGCTCATTCTCAGATATATGTTTTGCAAGTATCTTCTCCCATTCTGTAGGACAGTAAATTGAAATTAAAACAGAATCTTTTTAGTTCGTCAAAATACCACTTGTTTATTTTAGCTTCCATTGCCTGTGCTTTTGGTGTCCTACCCAAGAAATCACTGCCAAGACCAATGTCAAAGATCTTTTTCCGTAAGTTTTCTTCTAGAAGTTTTATAGTTTCAGCTCTTATAATTAAGTCTTTGATCCATGTCAAGATAGTCTTTTGTGGGGCGCCTGGGTGGCGCAGTCGGTTAAGCGTCCGACTTCAGCCAGGTCACGATCTCGCGGTCCGTGGGTTCGAGCCCCGCGTCAGGCTCTGGGCTGATGGCTCGGAGCCTGGAGCCTGTTTCCGATTCTGTGTCTCCCTCTCTCTCTGCCCCTCCCCCGTTCATGCTCTGTCTCTCTCTGTCCCATAAATAAATAAACGTTGAAAAAAAAAAAAATTAAAAAAAAAAAAAAGATAGTCTTTTGTGAGTGGTATAAGACAGGGGTCCAGTTTCGTTCCTTTGCATGTGGATATCCAGCCTTCCCAATACAATTTATTGAAAACAATGTCCTTCCCCCAACTGTGTATTCTTAACTGACCCCATATGTGTGGGTTTATGTCTAGGCTATCGATTCTGTTCCACTAATCTATGTGCCTGCTTTATTTGAGTACCATCCTGTTTTGATTACTATAGCTTTGTAATAGTTTGAAATCCAGAACTGTGATGCCTCTCTAGCTTTCTTTCTCAGGATTGCTTTGGCTACCGGGGGGTCTTTTGTAAGTTCCATAAAATTTTAGAGTAATTTTTTGTATTTCTGTGAAAAATGCCATTGCAATTTTCATAGAGATTGCATTAAATCTGTAGATCACTTTGGGTAATACGGGCATTTTCACAATATTAATTCTTCCAATCCAAGAACACAGGATATCTTTCCATTTATTTGTGTCTTCTTTAATATCTTTCATCAACGTCTTATAGTGTCCAGTGTACAGATCATTCAACTCCTTGGTAAATTTATCCCTATTTTGTTTTCAATGCTATTGTAAATAAAGCTGCTATCATCTCTTTCAGATAGTTTATTAGGTGTATAAAAATGCAACTGATTTTTGTATATTTGATTTTGTATCCTGCAACTTTCCTGAATTCACTTATCAGTTCTAACAATTTTCTGGTGGAGACTTTATATATATATAAAGTCTTTATATATTTTTCTGGTGGAGACTTTATATATGTATATATATATATATGTGTGTATATATATATATGATCTTATATATATAAGATCATTTGTATATATAAGATTATCTGCAAACAGATAATTCTACGTCTCCCTTTCTGATTTGGAGGCCTTTTAATTATTTTTCTAGCCTAATCATTATAGCTAGGACATCCGGTATTGTGTTGAATAGAAATGGCCAGAGAGGACATCTCCGTCTTCTCCATAATCTCACAGGAAAAGCTGTTAACTTTTTACTATAGAACACAATATTAGCTGTGGACTTGTCATATATCACCTTTATTTATTATGATGAAGAACATTCTCTCTATACCTAATTTGTTAAAAGAGTTTTTATCATAAAGGATTTGAATTTTGCCAAATGCTTTTTCTGCATCTATTGCAATAATCATATTATTTTTATTCTTCATTTTGTTACTGTGGTAGATCACATTTTGATTTCTGGATGCTGAAATGTCCCTGCATCCCAGAGATGAATCCCACCTGATCATGATATATGATCCTCTTAATTTGTTGTTAAAATCGGTTTGCTATTATTTTGCTGAGGATTCTGCATCTCTGTTCACACAGATACTGACCTGTGGAGGAGTGCCAACAAACCGACTCCACCTGCGGCCCTCCATCTTGGTCATGTCCAAGCAATGCCTCCCTCAGGGCCCAGTGGAGGTTAATGTATGCCCTGACCAGAATGCAGACAGGCTTGCTCTGAGCTTCCCTAAAGTGGTGCACAGATGGCACCATTTTGGATAACAGGTAGAGATCCTCCGGCGCACATATGGTGCCACATTAGATAACTACCCTTTGACCTCACCACGAATGCCCCTCACTCCATAAAAGCTGTGGATTAAGGTCTGGACTGGGCAAAAAATAGCTGTGTAGCAGCACCTAGACCGCCCACCTGCTCTCCTCAATAAGTTACCTTGAATAAAACTCTGTAAATGGTATGGAGTGGCTTACGTAGTTTTCCTGGTCTCAAAGTGCCGTCTCAGTCTGGAGGGTACTTCACTGTCCCATTTGAGGATGCACTTGCTTCTTCCAGCCTTTTCGGATTGGCTTGGGTGGGAAAGACTCTCACCTGAAAACAGCTGTGATGACAGAGGCTGGGGAAGATGTAGTATCTTTGCTCCCTGGCAAGGCACAGCAGCACAGTCCCCGTGCAGCTCCGTCAGCAGA